TCCTCCTCTTAATGAAAGGCAGATGCCAGGTGAACGGCCAAGATCAAGATCAAGTAACTCGCGCATGCGGGGCGGACGGATATGAGTTTTCGTTCGCTCGTTTCACCAATCTTACGCATTCTCATGCGAGAGGAAGAATAATCATGTGGCGTTCTTCCTTCCTTCCTGACATAGAGGTCAGAAAATCTTTCTATTTTTATCTTTTGTCGCAAGAATCTTTTCGTATCAAATTATTTTATTGGACGTTGGACCGCATGGCACATACAAAGTTGTTTAATTATCTATAGGATAATTAAGGCTATCCTATTTCTGGTATAAAAATGTGCTATAGAATTGCAAATATTTGTACACTCATTATATACATTTTAATACATTAAAAAAATATATTTAAAATATATAATAAATTTAAAATGTAATATTTTTTAGCTGAAGTACTTGAATATTCAAATTATTTGAGCAAAAATCTAGAATTAAAATAAGAATTTTCCTATTTATATGGCGTATATGTCAAATCATAATGAACACATATATCAAAAATAACAATAACATCGTGGCTATTATATACGTAAATAATGTCTATATCTTCTTTTAATTCCATTGTTAAGAAAAAAGGATACTTAAACATCACTTAAATGTGACGAATAATTATGAAAAAGTTCCATAGATAGATAAACTAGTAATTCTGTCTGTATTTATGCTACATTCTATTTGAACGTTCAGTAATTTGCTGCCATCTATCAGCAAATCATTAACGTACATATATATTTACAACATTGTGTTAAAATTGTATTTACCAAACGGTATCTTATTTCTACAATCATACTTGCAATATTTTATATTTTATATAAAACAAACATTGCACATCATCTGTATAGTAATGTTGAAAATATTTCTGTTGATCATCTAACTGTAAACATAACTGTTAGCATTTATACTGTTGGGATTGTTTTATTGACTACCTGTTATACCTATATCATATTGTAAATTTAATAACAATCGATATATCACTAATATACATACCAATATACATGCAATATAGCACAAAAAGTAATTTAAGGTGAGGATACTTTCAAAAGATTTGCATAATACAAGGAGATACAAAAGTATAGATCGATATCTCCGTATAATCGTACAATTTCTCATCGAAAATTAACTAATTAACTGAATATCGCTATGTCAGCTTAAAAATTGAAAGTTTATTGTTATTTATAAATTTGTGTGAAAGTCATAGTAACGCTTGGTTTGGTAAAAAATATACTTATGAGTAAAAGTCTTTTGCTGTTTTGACAACTATTTTTTATTCATTCCTCAATAATGCTATATTAAAATTTTGAATAAATTACATTTTACATACACCATATATAGACAAGAATATAAGTAAATGCAATAAAATCATATTTAAACATAGATAATCTTTTTAATTAAAAGACATACAATTAATATATATGATTATAATAATACTTAATCGAGATTTAAAAATTATAAATGTAATGATATTTATTTGTTATATTAAAATAAAGGGTGAAAATTGGACTTTAAATTACAAAGTTATTTACTGATTTACTTTTACTGACTTCTCTTTTAAATGCTAGAAATGATTTACTACCAACTTGTCCACTCTCATACTTTCTCTGGCGCATAGTTTCTTAATTTACTTTTTTATACTGTTCTCACCAGTTCTTATTAAAATGCTCTAAAAAATTGTCACATTGACTTTCCACAATGAATAGAAACTCTATTCAGAGTATAATGATATATTACTAGAAGTGTTACCATTGTTTCATAATATAATACATGCGTATCTTGACAAAGAAAAAGAGATTAAACAGATTACAGATTAAGAGGAAAATAAACTCTCGCAAAACTCTGAAAGTTCTGTAAGAATTCCTCTAAAAATTTTTATTTTACCTTTTTGAATATGTAGAACTTTTTTCTAGAATTTTTTTGTATTCACAATGTTTTGTTTTGATAAATCGAAAATAGATACAGACGTATAATTGATATCAATCCTGATGAAAGGAAATTTAAACGGCATTTTAACAACAAAGAAAAAAAAGATTACAGACACGTTATGGCGGGAAGTCAAATTACATTGAAAGACAAAATTAAAAATATGCGTCGTCGACCCGCGATAAATCACGGAAACGGAGAGGCGCGGGGGGAGGGGGATCCGCGAATTTCCTCTTCCTGAAGAAGCATGTGTAGAGCCGATAATGATGCGGAGGCACGTAAATATCGAGGCGTTCACTCTCCGATGAAATATGCGCCTTCACGAAACGCGCCCACCGAGAGAGAAAGGGAAACTGATCTCGAAACATGTCTCGCGTAAAACGCGCGCGAGAGCAAATTATACGTATATCTCGTGCCGCCGCCAGCCGCGTTGGTATTCGAACGAGAAAACAAAAACGAGTACCACGCGAATACGGCTTATCCTTTTCCTTAAAGCTCGCGAGACCGTGACAGTGAACTCTCTACTGGAGGAATCTAATCTGGCCAGGGTCGGAGCGAATGTATACAGGGGGAGGAGGGGGGCGGGAGGGGGTGTTACGTTTCGACACGTCAACACAGCGTCGCCCTAAGAAAACGTCACGGACGAGACGTTTGCACGAAATATCAAATGGCATCGTTTCGGAGACGGGCTTGTGTTGTTTCACCAACGTCACTCGTGCGCGAACGGTGTGGTCAGTTAACTCGTAAACTTTTGTCAACAATTGAAATATAAATGACTAAAGAAAGAAAGATAAAGAATCGATTAAAAAGGGCCTTTGACTGACCTTTGACAGTGAAATTGGAGTTAAATGTTTTTTAGAAATCGGAGAAACACCAGAGGGATATTTTTTTTTTTTTTTATCGATAGCGCAATTTTGTTTTTATAATTTTTATATAAGATCGTAATGTAATAATATCGAGAAATCAAGTAAAATTGTCACTTTTTATTATTCACAATATGAAAAATATTAAAAAATTTCATTTACATTATTACCAAAGAAAAAGTTGTAAAAAATCGAAAAAGCGAAAAATCGAAGCGAAAATTTAGAAAGTTATTGCAAAAACCGTGGACTTAATCTAAACCGTAAAATTTTAACCGTAAAACTTACTTTAAAAGATATTGACTTTAAAAGACATTTTTAGATTAAATATTTAAAATTTTTTTTTTTTACAAAATTTAGAATCTTTATATTTTTATTTAGATATAAAAAATTTTTAATTTATATGTTAATATCGTCTACATTTAATATCTTCCTATTTATTATTTTATAATTATTATTTTT